TATATTTTTAAAATATAAATTTAGAAAATTTTATATAACAAATTATATAACCTTAATACTTTTTCCTGTAGCAGTAACCTTTGCCGCCATCATCTTTAACATCTAACTTCTTTTTTTATTGCTTTTGCTGTCCAAAACTTTTCCCCACGTCTTTTGGAGCCGATGAATATTAAATTTTAAATTAATTTTTAATTAAATAAAATAACTTTCAGTTAACGTTAGAATTCTATTTTGAATAACTTGTGCGCAAATTTGGTAATGTGGGCTTACCTTCTGTCTTAAATGGTGTAGGGCCTACATTGCAGAAAATATAGTGGCGTACCATATTTTGACAACTATTCGTCGAGGTCCAGCCCCGACACCACCATGAGGAATTCGGTCCCATGGCCATTGCAATGGAATTACCATTGACCTGGCGTCAACCATTTCCATCAACATCGCCAATAACAGTTAAGGTTACATAAATATTATGATTTTTTTATAAATAATTGAATATAAAAATAGTGCGTATGAATTATTGATTTTTAAAATAATTAAAGTTTTAATTTTATATAATATTATTTTATTTAATTAAAATTTAATTTTAAATTTATAAATCCATTTTATTAATCTCTATTTAATATAATTATAGTTTTTAGTTTTAAATTTTGATTTTTAAAATTTAAGCAATCAAAATTAATAATTAAAAATTAAAATTACTAATTTATTAAGTACAAAATTTTAAAATAAATATCTAAAACTTTAAATTTAATTAATTTATAGCATCATTTAATTTTATTATAGGGTTTTGAAATTTTTAAAAATTAAAATGAAAATTCGAAACCACAATTATATTAAATGAAATCTTAAATAAGGTTACTTTTTGAATTTTAAATTAAATTTTAATTAAATAAAATAATATTTTTTAAAGTTGAGATTCTTTTTTTTTTTTCTTTAGAGTTAGAAATTAATATCCACTTTTTTTATTAAATAAAGTGTTAAAAATATTTATTTATAAATTTATTTTAATTTATTAAATAATAAATATAAATAAATTTATTATTCATCAATTATTTATTCTAGTTAATAATTTGATTTAATAATTAAATTAAACTAAATTAATATTTTAAAAAACCATATATAAAAGAATTTTTTTATCTATACTCTTAGGGCATTATAATAAATGTATTCTTTGTATAATTAATTTTTATTAAAAGTGTAAATATTAATTTTAATTTAATAAATTAACAAATTAAAATCATTTATATATCAATGGTGTTAAAATATATCAATTTTTATAATTTTTTTTATATAAATTAA